CCTCACTTGCACTGTGGTTTATTTGCAATTTTACTTGTATTCATTTATAATATGCAGGGCATGCTTTCCTTTTTCAGAACAGAAGAAGCATACTGCTTTTCCTATCAGCCCTTGACCTTGAATGCTGAGTCACTTTGGCTTTCTCCGTTCTCTCCGCAAAGAAGCTCTCCTGGGATGAATCTAAACTATTTCCACTACCTTACCAGACACCTGAGTCCCAAGCATGGGTTCCTGAAGCAGTTGTTTTTCAGACTGATATTTTATTTTTGTCTTTTTACTTTGACCTTAATCCTGGTTGAGCAGCACTAGCAGATGTGGGATTCAGAATCCCAATGGCACAATTTTAATGTTTCATTGAGTTTCTTTAACAGTGTTTCTATTTCTTACGACTGTGGAGATACGCTTGAAAGCATATTAGTGGTTTTAAAACTCCACCACTCTCCAGTGATCAAAGAGCAGCACTCATAAAATAAAAGCTTTAATTCCAAGGATGGTGGCAATTGTGCATGTTACCCAGATGGCATGTAATTCTTCACGACCGTAGGTGCTGCAGTGGAGGAGCAAAGCCACTCTTAATCTTCGTGACTTGTCTCATCAGTTTGGGAGCTATATAAATAACGCCCTAATTGTTCTTAATCATTTGTGAGAGTCAAATCTTGCATATATTGGAACAAGATGTCCTCATTTTAACATGGCCAATAATGAAGAAACAAGTTATTCTCAGAAGAACAGAAGTGATATTTCACTTACCCTCACAGAAGGGGGATTTATTTCCTGACTTCAGCAGTTCCCGTGTCCTTTCCTGTTCAGGCCAGGCACAACATACTTCAGGGTATCTGCTCTGAATCCCAGGTAGTACAGGCAGGGTTGTGCAAAAGGCGTGGCTGAGGCATAAACTGGGAGAAACTGGGCAGTCTCCAGCTAGGAAGTGACTTGGGTCTGAGACCATTGCTCTGGTTCCAGGGCTTCAGAACTTGGAGAATCAGAAAAGTGTTTTTCCTTTTACTGTTTCTGGCAAGTTCTGTTACATTGTTGATGCTCTCCGAGTTCTCTGTGAATAGAACATGCCAAGAGAGAGGAAAAGCAGGGATAGCTTTCATTCAGGGATGACTTTGCCGGGGCTCACCATTCCACTCAAAGTGGTTTTGAGAGCTCTGCAGAAAGAACTTGTCAGCCTGCTGCTTCAGTGTTTTATCTCAGTGTGCTCTGTGTGACCTGATTTGTACAACCCACCATGTCTGTGTTGAGGGGTAGGCTGTTGCATTATGCTAAGCACTCAGCTTGCTGTGCCAAAGGAACCCAAGCGCCAGGGGTTGTTTGTGCATTAGACAACCCTCAAATAACCTATGGTCATCTAATGCTCAGACAGCACCTGCCACCTGAGTTCACATGGCAGATCAGGCCACAGCAAGCTGGGTACCTGTGCACTGTGCAGAAATGGTGCCTGTGGGCTCTTGGCACAATAGAACAGCCTGATGGATAAATCAAATCATGGTGAGTTGTCACGGTGTGTGAACAGGCCCAGTATGCCTGCCAGCAGCACTGTCTAGTGCAGGGGTCAGCAGCCTTTAACACTCAGCCATTTGGACCCATTTCCCACAGAAAAGAAAACACTGGGAGCCGCAAAACTCTTTTGACCTCTAAAATGAAAATAACACTGCATATATCTTTTTTACCTTTATGCTATGTATAAAAAAACTGTAGTGTGTTGCATTTATGAAACAGATCGGCGGCCGTGCTGTGCGGGCACGGGTCGCAGATCGGCGGCTGTGAGCGACAGAGCCGCAGCAGAGGGATTCAAGAGCCACGTGCAGCTCTGGAGCCGTGGGTCGCCAACCCCTGGTCTAGTGTTTCCAAGAATGGTTTGCATACTGACATGAGTTAGAAGATGCCTGGCGTTCCACCTCTGTCTGCTCAGGTCCTCTATGAACACTTTCTCTCTGACTGTCCACTGAGAGAACATAGGGAAACTTTGTGCTGCTAAAGGTGGTGCTTGCCAGCATCTAAGTGTGCTAAATCAATCAATCAATCAATCAATCAATCTTATCATAGGGATTCCAAGGCCTGGTCATTGTAGTTAGGTGGAAAGGAGGCCCCACTCTTGCCTCTGATAGTAAATGTGATGAGCTGGGCCAAGGGGGATGCCACCTCTTTGCCTGAAGGAATGGTGGGACACTGCTCAGACTTTGACAATCAGAGTAGGTTTTCAGTGCACACTTCTGCACTGGTTCTCAATGAAAAACCACAGTCAGGAACTGTGTTTCTCAGTTTTGAGGCAAAGAGCAAGAAGGGCTTCCTCTCTGCTTGAAAAAGTAGGCTATTGGTATCCTGTGTGCTTCACAAGTAGGTTGGTGTTTTTCATAGGCACCACATACTGCTTTAACGCTGAGTGTGGGTGTCATACAACACTCACAGCAAACGAGAGCACCCTGCTTACGAAGCCATATGGGGTGGGGGGCAGGGAGGTTAGCCAAACTTTCACGTCCACCTTTGCTTGTCTGAAATGTGGCAGGTTTCATCCCCTCAGAAGAGGATATTATGCATCCCCATTTCATCCAGTTCTGCTGCCTCCCACCCCTCAAAAATTGTAGGCATTTATTAATCCCATTATTACTGGGGATGCCACCCGAAGCTTCAGCAGGTGAGCTGAGACAACCCTGCTAATGGAAGGTCAGTGGGGTAGATTCTGTGTTTGAGCTGGAGCGGTACAGGATCACACATATGTTGACTCTGCCCATGCAAACCAAGATGGGAAAGCAAGTGAAGAGGAGAAATCTTGAGTGAAAGATGTTGGAAGGGAAGAGTTGCTATAAATGGTTTGAAATTTGGAATAGTTAGTAAAGAGTAATAGGGCTCTTCCTGGAGTCACGCTGGCCTGGGATGTCTGAGTTAGTTTTGCCTCACAGTATCTGCAAGGAACATCTTACTGAGTTATGGCACTTGTCCTATGGATGGCTGAGGGTGCTGGAGTTGTAGTCCAACACATCTGAAGGGTACCAGCTGGGGAAAGGCTGCCCTAGAGAGTATCCAAGTACCACAGTTGGATGCTGCTGTTATATTAACAGTTAATACATAGTACCACAGCAAACAGCTCTAATTAAAAAATACCTTACAGAGTTAATTTGGCTTATTAGAGACAATTTTGGGAATGCTTCCCTTCATCTTTACTCGACCCTGCCTGGAAGCTTAGTAGATACTAGCACTGCCTTTACTTGGCACTGCTGGTGGTGGGATTATCATGGGCTGCCAGTTTTTCCTTGACCATTTATATCATTCAACAAAGCTGCCTAATAAAAGTGTTGAGCGTGAGGCTGGCTGAAGTGGACTGGCCATAAAGGGCAGAAGTTGGGTAAACTAAGTTTAAAGGGCTAATACGTCACTCACTTTGTGCTCCCAAAGCATCTCTGAGCCTGTATTTCCTCAACCCCTTTGGAAAATGAAAGGATTTCCAATACTCTCTTTATTATACCGCAATGCATACATGGTGTTCAAAGAGAAAAGCCAGGAATTTCACTAGGCATGCCCAAGCTGTTTGACTTGTTCCCATAAACCTTTTTTGGCTGTGCCCAACTAACTAAGGCTGTAATCTCTCTCTCCCTCCCTCTCCCTCTCCCTCTCCCCCTCTCCCTCTCTCTCTCTCTCTCTCTCTCTCACACACACACACACTTACTTGGGTGAAAGCACCATGAAGCCCAACAGATTTATTTCCAATCTCACAATAAATTTACTGTTTATATTAACTTGCTCCTTGCAAGAGTCTAAAGGAGTTGGCTTCAAAGTATTTGCCAAAAGGACTGTAAAGACCTGGTTCACATGTAGCATGAACCTATCGGTTGTAATCATAATGTGTGAACTCAGGAAGCATGGTTTGTTAAGCATGTGTACTAAGGAAGCATGGTTTGTTAAGCATGAACAGCAGGGACCTGGTTCACATGAGCAGGTGCTCTGCCTTTTCCCCTTTTATCCCACAACATGTGACCCGCTCCTTTCTAAATTGTGCAGCATGATGTACAGACCCACTCCACAGTTTTGTTTGGGGATAAACAACCTAGCTGTAAAACGATGGTTTGTCATTAGGTTTAATCCTGTATTGTTAGCCCCAAACAACCCAGAAAGTTTACATGCCATGCTCCTCAGCCTACAGAAGAGCCAGTCATGAGTTATAGAGTGGAAGAAGCAGGGTGTATGCCACTTACCCCTGCTTGTGCACAGCAAGAAGTTCATGTTGTTAACACAGAAACAGTTTCAGACAAGGAACTTTGTTGCTTCTTTAGTTTGAACTCTGGGTTATTTCAACTATGGGCTGTCGTTACTTGTGAACTTAGAACAATGGGTTGTCTGCCAGGCTACAAATATGATGGGAAAGAGGGGTAAAAAAACAAAAAAATAAAAACCAGCTGCTCTATATGCTTGTATTACAGTGCTGCAAAAGTATTTGAATAATTAAAGGAAGGAAACAACCCAGGGGCAGAGAAATAGACTGCTAGGCAAACCCTGAGTAGGTGAACAAACCATTGGTTAAATAAACCATGAGTTAAACCTGATCAGAAAGTAGATTAATTAAAGCTTCCAATTAAAGCTGTAAAATCATAGACTGTACCTTTCATCTGTAAAAGTCCTAAAACTAATGAATGCCAAATGTCATTCTACCTGTACAAACCCTTCAGATGTGCTGGACCTCAAGTTCCATCATTCCCAGCCAGCGTGGCTGGAGGTCGTGAGGTAGTGGAACGTCCATCTGCCTCTTTTCAAGAAGAGCTCTGCATATCATTCCAGTTACATTTAAGAGTCCATTCTTTCAGCAGTACCTTACAGAACAGGAGCTGCTGATGAGCATGCAGAAGCAATTGGAGTGCCCCAAAGGAGCTTGTCACTCATGACTAGAGAGACTGAATTTAAAAAAAAAAAAAGTTCCTTAAACCAAAATGAACTACTTCTTGATTTGTGAGTTTTGTCTTACAAATACTAAGAACTTGCAAACTCTTAATGTTTTGTTTTAGAAAGTTAATGCAAAGCTCCATGAAGGGCTATGTCAACGTTGCAAAGAGGTCTTGGAGTGGCGTGTGAAATTCAACAAGTACAAACAATTAACGCAGCCTAAAAAATGGTGAGTAAACTGTTTCATAGCTGATTCTTTGCTATTGTTCTGTTTGCTCAGTCCAGTTCTGCAGATGCATGCTTTACGTATGTTTAGAAACTTGCTCCATCCTAACCAAAAGGAGGATTGATCAGAACAGAGGAAGGCTGATCAGTTCTTAACTTTATTCTTTTCCCTTTCCTTTTTGTAATGACAGAAAAGCTGCAGAAGGCCCCAGTGCTAAAGATATTCATTATCCTGTGATCTCAGGGATTAATTTACAAATAATGGGGCATGTGAAGAAAGGATAAAGAGAAAACATTCACAAATTCTTTTCCCAAAGCCTGTCATTAACACAGAGTCATGAAACCCTCAACATTAATCTAGGTAAATAGCTCATGGAGTGTACTTTAAACTCTCTCAGAGATACACAGGCTGAATAAATATTGGCTGCTGTTTCAGCTGCTTAGGGACAAATGGCATGTTACTACGGATGCGCACAACAGGGCCCTACTATGAGACTCTAAAATGAGAAGCAGCCTCAGGAGGCTGCAGTTTTGACCAGAGAAGCAGCAGGGGATGCTGAATCCTTTCCACGGAAAGGGGAGGAAGCAACTTTGAGCAGATAGCGCTGGGGTAGGTATAATCCATTCTTCCCAACCTGGCACCTTCCAGGTGTGTTGGACCAAACCCGCCATCCTTGACGGTATCAATGTATTGGAATGTATAGATGTATTGGACTGCTGCTCCCATCATTGGTGCGTGTTGCAGTCCAACATACCTGGAAGGCACCAAGTTAGAAACCTGGTTTAATTGCTCCTTTTTCCTGCTGCTCATTTCTTGGCTTTTTGTTAAAGACAAAGCAGGACAAGCCAGGGCTTTCCTATAAGCATTTGTGCCTAAATGCCGGAGTGCACTTTTCAGAAGTGGTAATGCTTGTGTCTGTGTCACAAGGTGATTCATTCAGAGGAAACGCCTTGCAGTTATCTTGTAAACACCCTTGGAGCTTTGTTTAAAACCTGTGGTATCAGTGTTACTGAAAGAGTATCTATTGCCAGGGGGGAAAGGTGTGTTTGACATGAGCTTTGTGACTAAGGATGCAGTGCAGTCCTGTACACGGAAGCAAGTCCTGATCTTACAGAGCACTTGAACTTCAGTTGGAGTGCCTTTCTGTGCTGCACTTGTTTGCTGTATATGCACATCTGATTGTGTCTGCAGTAGAAGCTGTTTGGATCTCAGCCAATTGCCTTTTTTTTTTTTTTTTTTTGCAAATTAAGAATGAAAGTTGTTCCTTTCTGTGTACGGAAGGTGACTCCTCCAGGAGTGTGGGAGGATTCTCTCCCTTTCTCCCTCAGTCACCCACACCCCCACCCTCCACATTCCAAATGGTCCCCTAAACTTCAGGCAGGGGGTGGCTAGAAGGAAGAGGGGTTGGGAAAGCTACCTTCATCCTCTCCTGCACTTCTCTGCATCCAGGACACTACAAAGGTGATTTTTTTTTTCATGCCAGGATTGCAGAATTGAATTGTTTCCGATATCTCATCCCGCTTAGCAATGCAAAGGCTTGGGATGAGACAGGATGAAGGCAGAAAAGTTCTTGAGGAAAGGTTTCTGGATGTTGATCTCTTCTGCTGAAATATCAAGAGAAAATTGGGGGAAAGTGAAGAACTGCTTATTGAAATATTCTTTTTCATAATTATGAGTGAAATATGAGTTAAAGGAGTATGTTTAACATATTGTTGCGTACTGCAGCTCACACTGGTGAAAATCCAAATTCAAAGACGGAAGCATTCATAAACAGAGCATCACTGCAGTGTTGAATCAGGCAGCAATCCTGGGATTTGATATTTGATCAGTATTTTCAGATGTTGTGGAATCCAGGACCCAGTTTGGTGCCTTGCCCAAGAGCTCCATTGTCTGCCAAGAGCTTTCCTCCTTGCTCCTCACTTGTCACGCACTTCATCATCAGCTTCAAGTGAAAGATGCTTCATGTGTGCATCCAATCAAGAGCAAAATAATATGTGAACAGCATTTGTCTGGCCAAAAAAAAAAGCAGCCCCGTGGTCCTTGTGCTTTTCATAAAGGCTTGATAAGCAAACCTGAGTGGATGGAACATTCTAAAACACAGGGCTGAATATTATCCGCTGCCAATTGTAGCATGTGAAACTTCTGCAAAAAGGACAGCTACAGGGTCTGATTCAAAAAATGAATTAAATTATATAAGAAAATTGAAACTTTGCCACAGTTTATGTGTTGTAAATGTTAGTCTTCTGAAAGTAGAATTTATAATGATTAACTGAAGCCCAGGTCTGAATCAGAAACCGCAGATCTTTTGGGTAGCTATTCTAGAAAGAGAAAATGGACTTGAGTTCATGCAGGTTTCTGTTTAGTGGAAGGTAGTAGGAGATCCGTAAAGGTATTTTTAGGATTGTGAACTTGTCCAAAGTTACTGTGCCATTCACAGTCTGATTCTAAGCATGTGTACTAGGAAGCAAGTTCCAAATTCTTTGAATTCAGTGGATCTTCATAGAACTGCAAATTTACTGTGCATAGTGATATTAAAATAGGATATTGAACAAAATTTTCAACTGTATTGCCTCTTAATTGTATTATTTGGATATGCATTTCCAGTGTTTTTATTTTCTAACAATAAACATTTCTTCTGTTTTTGCCTGGTAATACTGAGATCTAAATATTGTTTCTAAGCCATGATTATATTTTTTTCCTTTTCTTTACTACACTGTTGATGGTTTCTATCGGCCTATATTTTATTTTTATCTCACTCTCCCATCTCTCACATTAAACTGTATCCCAAAAAACCCCCAGCAGAATAATCTGTATTTATTGCAGAGCTCCTTTGCCGTCTCCCTGGCCTTACATTATATTAAATTCATAGACTGGAAAAAAATACGTGCTTACATGCTAACCCCCTGCTGTTCCATCCTGGTCTTAAACTCTTGATTGAACTTGCATCCATTGCTTTCAGTCTGTTCCTTTCTGCTTGAAGACACTTTGCTCTTTAGACTGTTTGGCTCCTGCACAAGTAATGAACTGCCTGACCAGACTGGCACAATAACAACCCAGTATGCCATTTACCCAGGAATCCGACGCAGCGTTACCTACTTCACTTCAAATCTAAATCTAGATTGGGCAAGAGCCAAGGCAATAATAAACCTGATGATTTCAAGACAGCACTCTGATTTTGACGAGGTGCTTGCTCAAGAGCTGCAGCGAGGAAAGTGTTCTGGCGCGGCTAAGAGTTGGAGATGAGCGCCAGACTGTTGAGTATGTGCTGAATGCTGAGACCCCCACCTGGGTGCACCTTCCCTGCAGCCGCCTTCTCACTGTTAGGAATAGGTTCCCACGGCGACACTGCTGGATGCTCTTTAAAAGGATTGAGAGATGCTCTCTCAAAATCGCTAAAATTAAAAAATGAATCCCCCCTCCAGGTCTGTGCTATGTGGGCCTAGCTTCATTTCAGAGCAAAGACATGAGTCTTGTGTAGCTCCATGTCTTTGTATCAGCTTGCTGGTAGTCCTCATTTTATAGCCCTTGGGACTAATGAGACCTGGCTGCAAACTAAGAAAAGGTATGCATGAGTTGAATGTAGAATGAAAACACAGCAATGACTGCTTGAAGCATCTTGGGTGTGATGCAAAATAGCCTAGATGCTGCTGCAAGTTAAAAACTGAACTTACCCACATAACTGGCACAAAGAAAATACTTGGATATCTTGATATGCTGCAGCTTGTAGTTCCTTCTCTATACCAGAATTTACCTTGCCACACTAAAGTTTGAGTCAGTAACTACTAAATAGTACAAGATGTACTAAATACCAAGATGTACATAATAATTTCAGTGCCTTAAACATGAAGATATTGCTTTATAATAGTATTCATTAATAAAATATTGGTTTAGTAAGAAAGTAAGTATCTTGTGCTTGATTTTCCCCCCTCAAAACTACTCCCCAGATCTCGTGGTTTCAGAATTTATGAGAACTTTTGATATTTTCTCCTTCATTCTTGATATGTGGAAAAGATATTTTGATACTGGGAAAAGATATAATGACTTCATTAGTTGCTGCTTGGCAAAGTAAATTGTAAAGTTTTGTGTAAATAGTCACAACTATTTTCATTAACCTTTTGTTTTCTTTTAATAGTGTAAAATGTCTGCAGAAGACTGTGAAAGATTCATACCACATTATCTGCAAGCCATGTGCTTGTGAACTAGCAGTATGTGCAAAGTGTGGAAAGAGAGAAGAAATTGTGATTCCGTAAGCATTGCATTTAAAATATGGAAATCATCTTATACCTAAATACTCTACACTTAGGGATGGACAAACTTGACCAGGCCTTGCTGGGCAAGCAGAAATGTTCACTTTCTAGGGTTGGGGGTTCTGTCCCCGACTTAATGATGTGTACCTATGAAAAACAGCATAAGATTAAGGAACATCGCTTGCTTCTCTCTCCAGCTCAGAGCTTAGAGCTGAAGAATGGAATGATATACTCTATGCAAAAGTGATGTCTCAGCCCTCAGAGCAGGAAGGGGAGCAGAAACTGTCTCTATGTTTGCCAGGCTATTTATTTATTTAATTTATATTCTTCATTAATTAGTCCAAAGGGTCTCTAAGTGGATTACAGGAAAACAATAACTACAGTAAGAACACAATAAAAACATCAAATAGCAGCAATAAAACAAAAATAACCATAAATGCATAGCAAGATACAATAATAATACACAATAAAACATATAAACACATAGTAACAATATACAATAGCGATATACAATAAAATATACAATATACAGCTGAGAGATTAGGTGTGAATAGGTTAAAATAGTATGTTGAAACTAATGTAAAACTAGATACCTTAAAATTGAACAGTATATAATCAGTTATTAAAATGTTGATAACTGTTAATGTTAAATAAATTAAATGTTAATATAACTTTTTTTGAGAGCTAGTCAAGCACAGAGTCAAGATCATGCGCCCTTGTTATTCTCTTACACTTGGAGTGGAGACAGGAGATGGAGAAAAGTATCACATCAGAACAAATCCCTAGTTTCTGCCGAGCTTTGGTGATGCAGCTGGCAGTACTGTTGCCTAAAAATTTCAGTTTTATTTTATTTTCCCTGCTAACAATTGCTCAGGCATTTTTGCAGTTAATCATTTTAACTTGGAGTTAATAATACCAACAGTTTAGCCACCATTAGCAAAATAGTGCCTCAGTTTATATTAAATGTGTAGCTTTATTTCTGTCAACAGCCTGTGACTAAAACATTTGCCCACTCTGGAATGAGGAACTCTAAATAGGATTAGGTAATGTGTTCTAGGAAAGACAGATAATAAATCCTTCCTTGGATTTGTGAAATGATGGTTCATTGGTAAAACACTAAACAGAAAAAAAAAACCCAAATCTGGGTTGCTATAGAGAAAAACAGCTCTTATTACATTCATACCTGCTGCTGTTTCTCCTCGCATACCATGAGGCAGTCGTCTACTGTTTCTGGGCCAGCATATTCTGACTGGGTTTCATTGTTGCACTAAATCCGTGCCCAGTGAGGAACATACGTGTATAAAAAGTCTTTTCTCGTCCCTCATCATATCCCATTTTGAAAATTCAGCTCGACAAAAGGCACTGTGTCTGTTTTGTCCTAGGATCCAGACAAATCTAGGGAAGACCGAGAACGAGTCTTCCAAAAATGATCAATGGCGGAATGAAAGAAGGGGTGAGTTTGAGGATGGCAGTGAGCTTAATTTAAGTGGCTTGGAGGAGGATGATGATGAAGATCTGGATTTACTCATGAAGCAGGATAAAACTGAAAGGACAGAACTTCAATGATTTCTCCAGAGAAGGTTTTGGTTCAAACTCCATTTCCAAGCAGAAAACTGAATTTCCAGAGAAAAGACTGTTGCTTTTTCATAGTTTTTGGAGCATAAGCCTCACAGAACTTGAAATAGTCTGCACAAACTTTATGAATATGTTTTTTTTTTAATTTCTGAACAAAATCTACTAGGGAGTTCTGCAGTTGAATAAACTATTATTTGAAAAAACCACCTGTTGAGTAGTGCTGTTCAGGTCGACGGCATCCTTTGCTCCTTGCCCTTATACCTTCTGTGGCGCCTCTGCTCTCTTTGCCTGAACACCCTTTGTTTGTTAGTCCAGTAATTGTCCTCTTCTTCTAAATGTCCCTCCTCTGTGCGGACTTGTATCAGCAAGGCCTTTTCTGAATCACAGGTGCCTCACCTTCTGTTTACCTTCTGGCTCTTGCAACCCTGCCTCTGCCCCACAATCGCTGCTCAAACAGAGCCCTCTCATAAGAGGATGGCAAGATCCCTGCTGCATTGAACCAAGTCCAGTTTAGCCTTCCCCCGTCTGGCACCCTCCTTACGTGTTCCCGCATGCAGCAGCTGTGGTTCAGCACATCTGGAGGATACCAGCTTGGGACAGACTGACTGAGTCCTACCATTCTCCCCACAGTGGCCAACCAGATGCTTCTGGTAACCTCATAAACAGGGTGTGAAAGAATTAGGTCTATCTTTTACTTCATCCTTTTCCTGTCTCTCTCATGTGTTGTACAGTGCATAATTTTATTGGCATTACGTTTTAGTGTATTATGGTTATATTGTGTTTATATTCCTCTCTTTGCTAATATGTTTTCAACTTTTTCTTTAGCTGCCCAGAGGGGCTATTGTGAGGTATAAAAAGGAAATAAATAATTCGCTGGTGTCATGTATGTTAAATATTGGTAGTACTATTACAAAGCCAAGTTTGCTTCCATAAATATTTCAGGACCATCACTGGAGGAACCTTACTGGTTGTAGTGAAATGGGAAAGTCAGAAATTACTTTTCTGGTAATTGATTCATTCTAAATCAGAACTCTGTCCATTTGGCAGAATAAGCATCAGCTATATAAATTACATTTTAAGCTGAAAGTCGTACTTCCCAGTCTATTTTCCTAGTGAGTTGTGTTTTTAGATTGTAAGCTTCTGGGCAGGCACTATCTTTTATTATTTGTAAGCTAGTCTGGGAGTCTTAGATTGAGTAGCAGGATAAAAATGCAATATAATAATAATTTGAGAGGAAGAAAAATAGTTGCAAAACAAAAAATGGCCTTGTTGTGGGGTTGCTAAAGTAGGAACGGCTCTGGGTCAGAGGAGAAAAGGAGAAGGAAATAGTAATGCTGTAAGAAGCATTTCCCAGCTAGGAATCTGGAAGTCAGGTTTGTGGCTGATTCCCATAAGTAGCAATTCTTTGGAGTACGCATCGCCTAGCAATGAAGCTTTGGAGGTTTTGGCTGCTACTTTACACATGAACAAATGTACTTGGCTGACAATTCTTTGCCTTAGATCAATTGTTTTGTGTGCAGGCAAGCACTAGGTCTGTGATAATTCGTGCCACTTCATTTTTGATGAACCGGATCTGCGGGTTTTTTCCCTTCTTCTTTTTCCATGCAGTGTTTTCCTATGCTCTTTTCGCTTTGCTTTGCCGTTCTGATACTGCATTTGGTTTCGGGAATGGCAGCTCTTTCCTTGAGCAGCAGGATGGGAGAGAGAGAAAGACCAACTATAATACTGAAAATACAAAAATCGGTACCCGTTGCATCTGGTTTATAGTCTGTATGAGATGGACAAGATAGAAGAGGAAGCTGCGGGCTGGGTCTGTAGCAAAACAGCTCTCGTGGAAAATCTAGTAACACCATTTTACATATTCACAGAGGGCGGGCACATTGAACACCACCACACTGCAACCTGACCTTTGTGGCAACCATTTTGTAGTGGTGCCAACAACACTTTCTGGTCATTCTGAATATACTCACTGATGTAATAGTTTAGACTCTTGATGTGGCATAATTTTAGCATGCCAAGAGTGTAAAACATTTAACAGGGTTAGCTAAATAAACTCTATACAATATAGAAGTAAGATACAGTCTTATCACTTGCTTAAAGTTGATTGTCTTATGCACATTCCCATTCTGGGCAGTGGAACTTGCTCCCAGATACTTACCTAAGGGATATTGCTACAAAACCTGTAAATTGTGACTCAGTGCCCTGTGCAGTGATGCCAGTCCGTGGGAGAATTCCTGCCAGTCCATGGCATCCCACTCACCACAGACCGGTGTGGGGGCTGGCTATTCTCCACCACCTGTTCCTCAGTCCGTGGAGGGTGTGCTGCTGCCACCGGGAGGGCCAGGGAGGAGAGAGACGGTTCGGTGGAAGCTGGCTGGGAGCCATGCTGTGCTGATTTCGGTATTTTGTTCTTCCATTGGCATTTTTTGTTGCTTGGCTTCTGGTTTTTTTGGAGACTCTTTTCTTTTTGGTACTGTGTTTGGAAACTAATTCACAGAATACTGTATTATGTGTATGGTGCTTTTGTTTCTGCCTCAGCAGTCCCCAAGGTGGGTTTCCTGTTTTCATTGGTCCCCAGCTGTGGAAAGGTTGAAAACCCCTGTTCTAACTGACTTCTGAGTAAATATACACAGGATCAGGTTGTAGGAGTGTCCACAGCAACATGCTAAAAATAATGGATGGCTGTAATTAGATGAATAGTAGGAAACCCCCAGTACATGGCTCAAGTGGCAATCCTACTCATGTTTCAATAGAGGCATGGCTGGCCTGAGCATGGTGGGAGTTGTAAGTCCCTTCTCTGCCTACATGTGCATAGGATGACACCCTTCCTGTGTTATTCTCCACTGAGAGTAGGACACTGCTGGCTGGGAGACACGTAACGTCTTTTATGCTTCCCAGCCTTTTCTGCTGTTTCAGGTACAGCAAGGGAGTGGTCACCTTAGTCTCACTCAGTGCAGGCCAAAGTAGAGATAAATAAAGTAAATAAAGCAGTGGCCCTTTCCGGGGGTGGAATTGCGCCTGAGATGCCTGCTGCTGCTGGCAGCCAGTCACCACCAAAGGGGTCACCCTTCTGGTGACTTGGGGGTGATGTCCTCTTTGTATGTAGGGTTCAGCACAGCCACATCCTCCAGCCAGCTGTTAAGAAGGGCAGGACTATTGCAGCTGTCTGGGCTTTGGACAGGGTTACCTGCCCCATGTTGTAACTGCAGAGCCTTCCGCTCACTAGCCAGAGGTTCCCTGCTAACAGTACAAGTCGATTTCCATTAAGCACAAGTCTGGATTCAGTCCACTGATATTTATTTCTATACTATGTACCTTCTCTGTCTCACCAGCTTGCAGGCAGACTGTGCCGTTGCAAAGCCAGAAAGAGAGAGCATCACCTAGTGGAACATTTCTGTAATTGCTATTCATTTCTCAAGCAATTTGAATTAAAATATGAATGCTGTCAGAGTTTCTTGTTTTGTTTGAAATATGGTATTGGATATGCATGCTTGGAAAATCAAGAATGTTTCCATATGAAAGGAAATAGTAACCAGGAATTGGGACTACACTCTTTTTGTTAGCATTGCTCGAACTAATACTGAAACAGCAGAAATTTAGACACAAGTTTTATGGCTTGTACTCCAAGATATAGAAAGCATGATGTCAGTAATTCATTATCCAAACATTGACTTGCAAGCTTTCATCCTCCTTGTTCTTTATGTATGAAGACTGTTAAACCTTACTGTTGTACCACCTGAATTTTATTAAGTATTTCTACCCTTTAAACAAATTTCCCAGGGTGGCTTGCAAACTAAGAAAAAAAGAAGAAAACCATCATAGTACAGTCAAAACAATGCAATTTAAAAGCAGCAGATAAAAATAAAAAAGAACTAATAATTAGCAATTGAAATTTCACCTTTAAATGAAGCGGGGGGGTGGGGGGAATGAAGAGGTTTTGTTCAGTGCTAAAACTGTTGTCAAATGAGTGTCAAGCAAGCCTCACTGGAGAAAAGACTGTCCCACAAATGGGATACTGCCATTAGAGATTGCATTGTGTCTAAGCAGCATATGATAATATTATGCCATAAATAGCCCCCTCCCATGCCAGCACCTGCCATATTCCAGATAGTGGGGACATGTGTAAGTGCCTCAGAAGGTGACCTCAGTTTAGGGGCAGTTTTGTGCAGAAACAGTCCTCTGAGGACCTCAGGCCTTAGCAGATGAGAGGAGAATCTTCTTTATCCCAAGGGCTGCATTACCTCATGAATAACCTTCTGGGGGCCACAGAGCTGAAGACACACACACTGGGTGGGTTCACATGACTTGACATGCAATTATTTCTTTAAAGCTTTGTTGGTGTGTTATGTGGTCTGAACTGTTGTGGTATTTCTGTTTTGTTTCTGAGAAACTATAAATGGAAAGAACAGCACTACTGCATAGTGGATTCTCCAGCTGGTGGAATCAACTGGGCAGTGCTGTTCTCCCAGTGTTGGCCAGCTGATTGCCCACTCATGATCCAAAGAAGATCTGGAGGGCTGGAGGCAAGAGCAGGGATGCCTTTGACATTGCCCCAAATGGCAGCTGTCAGTGGCACTCTTTGGTTAGCCGCTTGGCAAGAGTGGCAATGGGCTGCTCTTGCCAAGTTCCTCTATGGTTCAGGACTTGGTACTATGAGGAATTGTGTTTCCTGGTTCAGATAGTACTACAAGCAATTGTGGTTCTGAGAAACTAATGAACAGACCATTGTTTCTGTTTGTGGGTTCTCAAAACCAAATGTACCATGCTGAAATACTGCAGCAGGGTTCAGACAGCCCAACTGACCAAAACCAGTAAAAACCACAACACACAGTTGCTTGTCACATCATACAAACCTTTCCTATTAGGCCTTACTTCATGGTTTCATATAGATGTTCAACAGATTGTGGGACAAGAGGAACTTGTGCAACTCCATAGCATAAATGCCTTGGAGCCAAGCCATACACACAACACCCAGAAATTGACTCTGCCAGAACCATCATCATAAGCTGCCCTCAGTCCGAACTCAGCCAGTCTACTCAGAAGAATAACATGGTGGCTGATACAGAAGACCACTGAGATGCCCAGGAGAAGTACCAGCTTTACACTCCCTCTCTCCTCCCATTGTAGGATAACCAGGCTGAACAATGTGGATACCCTGCCAAACCTTGGCCTGAAGTCTGGCTGACAATGGTCCAGAGGGACAGTT